ACACCAATGGGCCAGCTCAACACATAATAATGTAGATACAAACACCAATGGGCCAGCTCAACACATAAGAATGTAGATACTAGCACCAATGGGCCAGCTTAACACATAAGAATGTAGATACAAACACCAATGGGCCAGCTGAACACATAAGAATGTAGGTACATACACCAATGGGCCAGCTCAACACATTTGAATTTGATCTACTTTTCACCCTTCAGTGACTTAGTAAAGAAAAGTTGGTCACGTGTATATTATACAGGTTTAGCAGAACTGATCTTGTCCATGAACACCTTACTACAACTCCTTTGATACTCATGATTCATGTATCTGGGCTGGCTCTACTGATTGCATGTTGCGGATGCTAAATTTGACCTACATTTCACACTTTGGTGACATGGTGACCAACAATTAGTTGTTTTTATATTGACTTGTACACTATGAGCAGGGGCTATCGAAGACAGCCTCTTTTTGTTTTTATTATTAAAACATTTTTAGTAATAGATTTGTTGTTCACTGCAGACAACAACATGAGTGGCAGCCAAAGGGTGAACAGAAGAAGACAGGTGGGGCCAACTGGCAGACCCAGCCAGGCATGGCCCCCGCAACCACCACCACATGGAATCAAGGCTTTGCACCTAATAACCCCATGGTAAGTGAAGCATACTTAATGACCTTTTGGTGAGACAAACTTGCCCATCCACCTCATGGTAATTTAACTCAGTGCTGAGTCGAATGTGCCCCATAACTCCATGGTGAAGGAAAAAATTCTCAACAACTCCTTGGTGAGTGAAATATGACCCATCATCTCATGGTAAGTCAAGTACACTTTAAAACTGACTAGAAATAAAATCGAAAACTCATTGTGACATTTGCAGTCATAACATTTTTCTTCTCAATTTTCTTCTCAATTGTATACAATCTTTTTTATCCCCCGCTTTCACCGAAACAGGGGATATTAATTTCGGTCTGTCTGTCTGTCACGCTTCGTTTCCGTGCAATTACTACAACAAATGTTAACCGATTTTCTTCAAACTTGGTCACAGGTTTAAATGCCTTAAGGGGGCTCGGCCAATTCGATGACCACTTTCAGGAGACCCCATTTGGCTGAGTTAAGGCCCCTTGAATAATGAAATGTCATTATCTGCCGCCCTTCATTTCCGTGCAATTACTACAACAAATGTTAACCGATTTTCTTCAAATTTGGTCACAGGGTTAAATGCTTTAAGGGCTCAGCCAATTCGATGACCACTTTCAGGAGACCCCATTTGGCTGAGTTATGGCCCCTTGAATAATTAAACGTCATTATCTGCCGCGCTTCATTTCCGTGTAATAACTACAACAAATGTTTACCGATTTTCTTCAAACTTGGTCACAGGGTTAAATGCCTTAAGGGGGCTCGGCCAAGTTCGATGACCACCTTCAGCGGACCCCATTTGGTGGAGTAATGGCCCCTTGAATAACAAAAAACGTAATTATCTGTGGGTTTTGTTTCTGTGCAATAACTATAACAAATGTTAACCGATTGCCTTCAAACTTTTTTGATTTTGATGAAAATTGGCATATAGGGATAATTGGGGGACTGTGAATTCAACTACATCAGTTTTGTTGCCATAGCTACCACATGGAGGCTTCTGATTGGTCGAAATTTAGATGTTGTTAGATTTTGATGAAAATTTGTATATAGGGATATTAGGGGACTGCGAATAAATCGCATTAGTTTCGTTACCATAGCAGCCACACGGAGGCATTCTGATTGGTCGAAATTTAGATATTGCTCAAATTTGATGAAAATTGGTATATAGGGATATTAGGGGACTGCTCATTCAGTCGCATAGGTTTCGTTCCCATAGCAACCAAATGGAGGCGCCTCTGATACGGTAGTCGAAATTTAGATTTTTTATTTTTATGAAAAATGGTATATAGGTGTATTAGGGGACTGCGAGTAAAACCGCATAAGTTTTGTTACCAAAGCAACCACACGGAGGCTTATGATTGGTCGAAATTAAGATATTGTTCGATTTTGATGAAAATTGCTATTTAGGGATATTAGGGGACTGCAAATTCAACCGCATACGTTTCATTGCCATAGCAACCATATAGCAACCACAAGAAGGCTTCTGATTGGTGGAAATTCAGATATTGTTCGGTTTTGATGAAAATCGTCATAGAGGGGTATAATGGGACTGCAAATTCAACCGCATATGTTTCGTTGCCATAGCAACCACATGCAGGCTTCATATTGGTGGAAATTTAGACATTTTTCGATTTTTATGAAAATTGGTATATAGGGATATTAGGGGACTGCTAATAAAACCACAAGTTTTGTTACCATAGCAACCACAGGGAGGCTTCTGATTGGTCGCAATTAAGATATTGTTTGATTTCCATGAAAATTGGTATATAGGGGTATTAGGGGACTGCACATTCAATTGCATACATTCCGTTGCAATAGCAACTACACAGAGGATTTTGATTGGTTGCAAGTTAGAAATTGCTCAATTTCACTCAAATTTAGTAGGTACATTGAAGGTGTACTATGGCAATGCGATCCTTTTCTGATGCGTCTTTGCCACTAAGGGGGCAGTTTGGGGGACATCTGTAATGGTCCCCCATTACAACTTGTACCTGTTGCTGTAGATATTGTTAAGATATTTCAACCAAATTCCTTATGCAAATCCAACTCATGCTAAGTTTGCCAACCGATGTGATTTGTGCATATTTACGGATAATAAATGAGGTATAGGGCTTTTTTTTCTTCAAGTTTCAAGCTATGCATTATGTCTTAACAACATGATAATCACATGTTTAAACCTAACCTCAATAATGTTAACCTACAATATGTCCTGCAAGAGGGGGATATAAATTCCACGAATTTGCTTGTTTAATTTAATTTTAATTGCTTAACTGAAAGCATTGAAACATTTGTTTTCTTTTTAATAACAACATTGTTATAAAATACAAGATGGTTTATATTTGTACCTTTTTTTGAAAATTGTGAAATTTAAATGTCAAGAGTTATTCTTCACTAATACCCTGCTAAACAGAATGTTAATACTTCTATACGATGTATTTCTCTGGTGCTTGGAGAGAAAAAATTCACTGGCATCAGGAAAGAAATATTTCATTGGCATCAGGAGAGAAATATTTCACTGGCATTAGGAGAGAAATATTTCACTGGGATCAGCAGAGAAATATTTCACTGGGATCAGCAGAGAAATATTTCACTGTTACTAGAAGAGAAATATTTCACTGGCATCAGGAGAGAAATATTTCACTGTCACGTGGAAAAGAAATATTTCACTGGCATCAAGAAGAGAAATATTTCACTGGCATGACTCATCAGGAGAGAAATATTTCACTGGCATCAGAAAATAAATGCCTCGCTGGCATGTGGAAAAGAAATATTTCACTGGTACCAGAAGAAATATAATGATTGAAGTTATTCATCGGTACATGTACCAGAAAATAATATTTCCTCTTTTGTATTTCAGGCTCAGCCAGCTATGGGCTACAACATGGGTGCCCCAACAACACAACCAATGATGGTAAGGTCACTATGGTTACCTCACAATGTGGCAGACCTTTACTTATGTGTTTGCTCGTCATTTGTTGATAAATATTCTTTCTTACAAACTCATTCTGTTGGTTCATTGCAAAATTGGGGGAAAAAATGGCTCAATATTTGGTTAAAACACATAACTGTTGTCATGCTTACAAAAACGTTTATCTGCAGTTAAGTATTTAAATATCAGTATTAAGATTAGGATGTCTTGAATTTTATTTGAATATAAATTATTTACCATAGCAACCTGTCGGAATGATGGGACAGCCTCGCCCAATGGGGATGCCAATGGGCCAACCAATGGGAATGCAGCCAGCCATGGGTATGCAGCCAAATATGGGCATGCAGTCAAACATGTATGCTGGAGGAATGCAACCAATGGGAGGAATGATGCAACAGCCACGTCCCCCAACTGGGCAACAACAAAATGACCCCTTTGGTGCATTATGAGATTAGTTATCCGTGAGAAGTGGTAAGTTGGGGGAAGTGGGAGAATACAGATTTTCAAAAAAAAAATAAGAAAAAAATGTAAGATCATTGATGGAAATATATGCAACTCAATCATAAACTCAAATTTTCTGAAGATTAATCAAAGTTTTATAAGTTAATTATTTCTCTATAGAATTTACTTGAAATTTAATTGAATAGTCCATATTATTTCATTTCAGCATAACTTGTATGTTTCAAGACTTTCCATCACCTCTAAAATATTTAAAGTAAAAAGTTGAGTCTTCATTTACCATGAGTTTTAGTTTTTCCGGATTCATGAATATATTACAAATTATTAAATCTTTTAAAAATAAATATGTGTATAAATATTAATTGATATTATATGTACAATAATCTTGCAAAATCAAGCACTAAATTTTTGAAAACTTAAACCTAAACTTAATTGTTTTCTTGATAAAATTAGGGCCCGGTTGACTGCTTGTTTTTGTTCCTTCTATCTTACACATGTATCCTCATAGAGTTTCAAAGATTAATTTGTCAACTGCTGACCATGTTTGAAATGTGAGTGATGTTTTCAATAACGTTATGTCATTTCTTCCCCAGGTACACTTCTTACAAGTTAGGGAGGAAGAGGCTGTGGAATATCATTGGAAGTAATCAGTGAAATTTGACGTGGATGTGTACATAGTAAAACTGAAAGGGATCAAGTTTGTCGTGAAGGTTTCACAAACCTTCAATATCTGTACATAGTAGTAATGTATGCCTGTTATTACCAAGAAAGCATACACAAGGACAATAGACTGACATTCTGATGCTCACCTGTATAACCATTGTAGCTGCTACAGCACCTTGTATCCGTGTCCAAGTCGGGACTCGTAACAAGTCATGGCATCACTTCTTACGTCCGGCGATGGACTCGCCGCGACTCTTCTGTGTCATTGTTTTTATAGGCAAAATCAAATTATATATGTAATTATTGTAATGTGTATATGTGTAATATAGAAGGGCTAGGTTTTATTGTGAACATCTGTGATTGGCTTACCTGGATTTTAGTTTACAAGTCACCCCCCCATCATGCAGGCATCATCGACAGGAGAGTGATGTAACATGACGTCATTAATAGTGCATGATATTGTCTGCTGTAACGGACAGTTAACAAAATCTGTATGTGAGAGAGAGTGCTAATCACCCAGCCAGAACTAGTCATGGTGCGAGGCAACTTTATAAATGTGTAGCGTGCAATTCTGTGTTACAGGGAAATATTTCCTGTCCCCCTTGTGGTACCAATGTACAATGATGAACTCACTTCAGCTTCTAGCCTCACTACACATCACCCAGTTTAACATCACGAAAGTTTGAAAGTCAAAAAGAGTGGATTTTAAAAATAAAATTAATGAACTTCAAGGTATAAACATTGTGTCTATTACATGAATTCAGTTTTATTTCTGTCTTGTGTACACTGAAAATGAATCCGAGCAATTGAGATTTCTGATTCTTTATAAAAAATATTAATCGGTAAAAAAAGATGCAAATTTTATTGACCATACTATGCTGCAGGAAATATACTGAATGAAAAGATCCTTCAATATTTTTTTGAATTTTCCACCCATGATTGTGTATTTAAAATGTACATTAGGGATAGTTGGTAATACACACCCTGGTGGTGTACAAGTGCCCACCTTACAGCGGTGCCATGGGGGCTGTGTACATTAGGATGGACAGTGTGGTACAACCTGGTGGTATAGAGTTGGCTGTTTAATATACAGTGTCCCCATGGGGGCTGTGTACTGGCTGTGTACAGTAGGGATGGACAGTTGGGTACACCTTGGTGGTATAGACGTGGCTGTTTAATATACAGTGTCCCCACGTGGGCTGTGTACTGGCTGTGTACAGAAGGGATGGACAGTGGGGTACACCCTTGTGGTATAGACTTGGCTGTTTAATATACAGTGTCCCCATGTGGGCTGCGTACTGGCTGTGTACAGAAGGGATGGACAGTGGGGTACACCCTGGTGGTATAGACGTGGCTGTTTAATAAACAGTGTCCTCATGGGGGCTGTGTACTGGCTGTGTACAGTAGGGATGGACAGTGGGGTACACCCTGGTGGTATAGACTTGGCTGTTTAATATACAGTGCCCCCATGTGGGCTGTGTACTGGCTGTGTACAGTATGGATGGACAGTGGGGTAAACCCTGGTGGTATAGACGTGGCTGTTTAATATACAGTGTCCCCATAGGGGCTGTGTACTGGCTGTGTACAGTAGGGATGGACAGTTGGGTACAACCTGGTGGTATAGAGATGGCTGTTTAATATACAGTGTCCCCATGGGGGCTGTGTGCTGGCTGTGTACAGTAGGGATGGACAGTGGGGTACGCCCTGGTGGTATAGACGTGGCTGTTTAATATACAGTGTCCCCATGGGGGCTGTGTGCTGGCTGTGTACAGTAGGGATGGACAGTGGGGTACGCCCTGGTGGTATAGACGTGGCTGTTTAATATACAGTGTCCCCATGGGGGCTGTGTACAGTACAGTGTTCCAACGAGGACTGTGTACTGTACAAAAGGAATGGATGGTGTGTTGATTTGTTCTTTGGCCCCACAGGGGCTGTGTACTCCTTTAGTACATTAGGGATTGACGTTGGATAACACCCTGGTGGTGTATAGAGAACTTTGTGCTGAACAGTGTCCCCACAGGAGCTGTGTACTGTACAGTGTCCTCACAGGAGCTGTGTACTGTACAGTATTCTCACATAGGTCTGTGTACTGAACATTGTCCCCAACTCCTACGCTGTGTATGGTACAGTGTCCCCACATGAGCTGTGTACTCACCATGTTCAGTAGGGATGGTAGTGAGTGTAAGTGATGGAACTATTATGTGATACTTATAATATATATATAAATATAAGAGGTGTATGCGAGAATTGTAATCACATATATATATGGGTTGTGTTTATTTTGTACATAAATCATGCAGATTATTAAGATATTTAACCATTTCCATCTTTATTTGTGTGTACTTGTGATGTTCCTATCTTTCAGTAAACTCTGTCTGTTTTTTGTTTTTTTAGTTTCCCCACCATGCTTTGTGCTTGTAAAGTTGTTTAGACACAAAAGGTTGAAAACTTCTAGATGACCTGTTATCATAATATCGGTCGCTCTCCCATTTCGGAGGTTTTTCCATCAAAGTTTTTCTTACAATAAATCTTGATACGGGACTTCAGCTGACTCCTGTGTAGTGACAGCCACAGTTTTGGATTGTTCTAGTGTTCACTCTCATATAACTTGTGTCAAAATACATTCCTTACCTAACATATTTCAACTTCATACCCAATTTGTTTTTGTATGAAAGCACAAAATGTATAAGAAAGCATTGAAATTGATAATACTAGTTATGTAATTGGATGCAAATTTTGGTTTGATATGAAGTTTTGTCATGAAGTTTTGTCATTGATACAACGTATGTACCCAGTGTTTTGTCTAAAATACATTATTTGTACAATTCATTGTATATCATTGTATAGTCTTCAGACAATATCAATTTGATACAATATCAGATCCATTTTACGTAATGTAAAGCATAGGTATAAAATATGTGTTTTTGTGCTAGTGTCCTCAGTGTTATTACAGTAAGTTATTCTGTGTTGATATTTGACACCTACGAATGTTGTTGCAGGTAATTCATACCTGGTGTAATGCACCTACAAATTAATTATGTCATTTTGGTGTGTTACGCCTGAAAATGAAGCAAAGCATAAATTATTCTGTTTTAGTGATTAAACGCCAGAAAATCATGATGCAGAAAAAATATTCTGTTTTAGTAACACCTGAGACTTGTATGTTTACAGGTGAGACGTACACACCTGAGACTTGTATGTTTACAGGTGAGATGTACACACCTGAGACTTGTATACAACAAGTTTACAGGTGAGACGTACACATCTGAGACTTGTATGTTTACAGGTGAGATGATTGTAGTAGACCGTGATAGGGTAGTTATTATGTTATTACGACATCAGAGAGCTTTTGAAATGTTGTCTGGTTTCCTGCTCTACAAGCGAGTGATAATAAATCATATTTTTAATGAAATTTTAATTCTAAACAATCATTTAAAATTTAGCCGAGTTAAGAGTTCTCTTAAATGGACTGCCATTTGGTTCTCATTTCATAATCAAACTCAACATTTCCATGGATGGAAATTAATTTTATGGAATACAACTTGTGTTTGACCTCTTGTTGGGAATATTTTATTGTAGTATTGTTACCTTGTGAAAACGTACAGATTTTTGAAAAGATTCCAGGACTCCCTTGGCATTCACATCACTTGAATTGATCTGGCTTATTGCTGTTTTGATATGACCATCACCGAATAAGTTGAGGTGTTAATTTTTCTGGATGATAATGAAATTCAAAACTAGTTTGCCCTAAATATATTGTCCTTGCAGCTCGTGTGGAAAGACGCAGTGTGTGTAAATTGACACCTACAGTAATTTATTGAGTTAGGGACAGACTGTCTGATTAGAGACCCTGGTGTATCTACTGCCTTTAGATGTCAGCTCTAATTCAGTCTCATCAGGACATCTTGCTAACATTCCATTCTTAAATGCAAGCCGTTTTCATTGTATGTGTAGAGTTTTGTGTTGGTATCCTTGATCTCGCTTTAACCTTCACCACTCGTGTGTAATCAGTGTTGTCTGTTCAGTGGCCAGGCATACATATGCAATCTTTTCTATGGGGCCTCCACCATACATATTCTTGTGTGTTGTAGGAGGTGACACATCCTGTATGGTATGGTTACCAGTGCATTGGATATAACAACATAGAACGTTGTCTTATTGTGCCAATATAATATTTACTTTAAAATTATTTAAATGCTATACCGTGGTAAATCGTCATGCTTGCTGAAATAATGTGACCAAACGTATCAAAATCAATCCCTTAGCTGGAATTAAAAAAAAAATCTAAAATTAAATTTACCTTTTTACTCGTGAATTGGATTGACACTTCTCATCAAATTGTTTCTATTCCTTAAAAAATGCCCTTAGGCCTTTACCAATATTTCATCATTAGTCCCCCAAATCCCATCCATCTATATCTGACCAGAGATATACATAACACCTAGAGTTCCATTCTCTCTCCACAAATAACAATCCTATCAAATCAGTTTCTTTTCACTTAAAATTTGAGTGATTTGACAATGTATTACTTATATCAGACTGGTGCACAATACCAGTCCCCATGTTACAACCTACAAGTGTGAGAGTTATTTCCCTTACAAAGTTAAAATGTGTGTTGTCTACTTTAGCATCACAGAAGGGTTATTAACACATACACAATCTACATAGCTGTTGTGAGGATGCCAAACCCTGCGCAAACCAATTGACAAATTGTTTACCAGAGAATATTTACAGTTATCTTGTGTAGATCTCTCTGGGAAGGAGGCTATATCACATTAAGGTAGCACACATCCTAAATTAATGGATGATCATTGATTTAAAAACCATACAGTGCACTCTAAGTAAGGCGAATTTAGAGCCTGCAATTACTGGTACTCAGGTTGGGTAACAAAACAGGATGAGGGATAAGATATGGCAGTAGATTGTTAAAATTATACACCAGAGTACTGTCAGTAACAAGATCCGATGAGGCAGAGGTACTGGTAACTTATACATCTGTACTAGTTTGTTCCTATGTGTGGTGATTACTGAACATTTCAGGAATTCACCTTTTATCAGATGTCCTGAATGTAATTTACTTTTTGTAGTTGTATGAACCAATGGAACACATTCAATGCTCCTGTTGCAATGTTTTCATGATAAATTTTAAGATTAAAATATTATAAGACTGAAACAATTGGTAAGTATTAAATATTCGAGTACATGTAATAGAATTCTTAATCAATGTTTAGACTGATCTACACATAGTACTTCTTGGTCAATGGTAGCTGTTAGTGCCAATGGCAGTCAAATTGTGGAGGTACACGACGCTGTAGTTTGGGCCGTCACAGTTTACTATACTTCTCTGTAGTTTTTGGGCCGTGAGTGCTGTCTAAACTACTACTGTATAATTGGGACGTGAGTGCTGTCTAAACTACTACTGTATAATTGGGCCGTGAGTGCTGTCTAAACTAATACTGTATAAGTGGGCCGTGAGTGCTGTCTAAACTACTACTATATAATTGGGCCCTGAGTGCTGTCTAAACTAATACTGTATGAGTGGGCCGTGAGAGCTGACTAAACTACTACTATATAATTGGGCCGTGAGTGCTGTCTAAACTACGACTGTATGAGTGGGCCGTAGGTGCTTGCTACACTACCTTGTAGTCGTGGGCTGTCGGAACTTGCTACACTACCTTGTAGTCTAGGGCCGTCAGTACTTTCTACACTACATTGTAGTCGTGGGCTATCAGTACTTGCTACCCTACCTTGTAGTCGTGGGCCATCAGTACATGCTACACGTGCACTACCTTGTAGTCTAGGGCCGTCAGTACTTGCTACACTACATTGTAGTCGTGGGCCTTCAGAACTTGCTACACTACATTGTAGTCGTGGGCTATCGGAACTTGCTACACTACATTGTAGTCGTGGGCTATCAGTACTTGCTACACTACCTAATAGTCGTGGGCTATCAGAACTTGCTACACTACCTCGTAGTCATGGGCCGTCAGTACTTGCTACACTACCTTGTAATCGTGGGCAGTCAGTACTTGCTACACTACCTTGTAGTCGTGGGCCATCAGTACATGCTACACGTGCACTACCTTGTAGTCTAGGGCCGTCAGTACTTGCTACACTACCTTGTAGTCGTTGGCCATCAGTACTTGCTACACTGCCTTGTAGTCTAGGGCCGTCAGTACTTGCTACACTACCTTGTAGTCTAGGGCTGTCAGTACTTGCTACACTACCTTGTAGTCGTGGGCCATCAGTACATGCTACACGTGCACTCCCTTGTAGTCTAGGGCCGTCAGTACTTGCTACACTACATTGTAGTCGTGGGCCGTCAGTACTTGCTACACTACCTTGTAGTTGTGGGCCTTCAGAACTTGCTACACTACCTTGTAGTCGTGGGCTATCGGAACTTGCTACACTACACTGTAGTCGTGGGCCATCAGTACATGCTACACTACCTTGTAGTCTAGGGCCGTCAGTACTTGCTACACTACCTTGTAGTCGTGGGCCGTCAGAACTTGCTACACTACCTTGTAGTCGTGGGCCGTCAGTACTTGCCACAATACCCTGTAATTGTGGTCTACAACCACAAGTGGTTCGAACAACGTGAAGTCATACAACTTAATGTTACAAGTCTGTGCATTGTCTGCCTTGGTGTTAATCTTTCTACATAGTGCTGTAGGAAAAGCAAGAAATATCAACGTGAAAAACAATAAATATTACAAATATAAATGAATTTGTTCGTCTTTTTTGTTAATTATTAATAAGCTGTACCTGTAAAACTTCAGGATGGCACTATGTTTATCAATCTTGTCCTGTCAATTACATAGAAACACCTTCATATCACCCGCTCAAAGATGTTAGAAGGGTAGATCTGAACCAGCTTGCCCATTGACACCTTGTAGGATTTATCATCAGCATGTGTAGTTTGATTGATTTGAAGTGGGGAAGTAGGCACATACATATGGATCAGCCAGGGGCACTTAAGTTAGTCTTTGACTTAAGTTCTCATTATTTTAATGAAACTTCATAGATCTTGACTAGAGAGTGTGTTACTTCAAAGTTTCTTCCTCAAAGGTTAACGTTGCAGCAACAGGTAGATAAAGTAAAATCAATTGAATGCTTGTAAAAGGGCAACAAATTGGGCAGTTATTTATCGATTCTGCTTCGCTCCAAATGTCAAGGGCACAGTCATGGGTCAAATTATTTAAATTGTTCAATAACAAGCTCAATCTTAATTTCAAATAACGTTAATCACATCCACACCAATATTCTCCAAAGGCCATTGACACATTGATGGGCCAAAGCTCAAATTCCAATGCTCCAATATGAAGCTTGGTCTTGATGTCAGCTTCCATTATTTACACTTTTCACAACAAGAGACTTCACCAGCAGTCTTCTTAGGAGGCAAGGTTGTATCATCAGATGTTTGATTATAAACAATTCCACAGGACGGTGTCGATAACATTCCTATTACGTTTCAATGAAATACCTTCAGTAGCATCTTAGAAGTTTAATATGTAAAGGGATTCTCCAGATATGTTGTTCAAAAACTTTTAAAAATTGGTAAGTGTGACCTTTGACACTATAACCTTGATTATCGCTAAAATCTAGTAAAGTGTAGAACTTGTGCTGCCATACTATAGTTTAAATATAAAATCCGTTAGAGGTTTTAGAGATATGATACACAAGCACCTCAGAAATTGACTTAGTGTGACCTTTGATCCTTAGCCTAACCAATGGCTTTTAAATGTTAGCAGGTGTAGGACTCCCATGTTACCATACTATGGAGTAGAAAATCTGTATATCTGTTAGATATATGTACATGCAAGTCTTTTGATGGATGAAGGTAAACCTACATATGGAATTTGACAAAGATGTGTCCACTGAGAAAAAGCAATAACGATCTTAAACTGTCAAAATCCAGGATGGCAGCCTGCAGCCATCTTGCTCATCCAATCAGTCTCAAAATAATTTGGTTTGTTTGTGTTCTACGTCCTATTAACAGCTATGGTCATTTCAGGATGTTATTTAATACACTGCCTCACTTAGGGCTCGAACCTGCGATCTAGTGCTGGAGGCTAGTGGTAGCAGAATGTGGGAGGCCTAAACCACATGGCTACTGCGGCCCCAGTCTCAAAATAAACCTGCACGAAGTAAAGAACCAAGTGCAAAAAGATCCATCCATTGCTTCTGTAGAAATGGTAATAATAAAGTTGTTAAAGAATGGAATAGGATGAAGGACAAAGTGTACTTTGGACTGCCCACCATCTTCTGATTATTGATTCCGCTGCATCATCGGATGGTGGGCTAAAAAGCCTGCTAAGCCCTAATATTCAGACACTGTCCAATTCAACATACCTATGTGATCCCATATCTTATGAAAACTACCAAATTAATTCCTGTTGCTCCAACATCTCATGTAAGTTGATCAAATTATTGGCCCACATGCTTTAAGATTAGATAGGCTTGTTCACTAATGTAAACTTTAACAATATCACCATGCAGCGGTACATAATACGCCTGTTGAAAGAGCAGTTGTTTGTATCGGTAAAATATATGAAACGTTTGTAATTGCTGTTAAAGGAGAAATAATTCAAAATACCAGGTAGATCAATGAGTGCAATCAAACAATAATGAGTGCATGGAGTATTGCATTAATGAAATCAAGGGGAATAACTCCATTACTTATGGTAAGATAATTGTGATACTAAGGGCATAACCTCTGGTATCCGATCATAATTTACAGTTATCAAAACTCATCCAAGCTTTCGAGGTAATCAACCTTCCTATGAAGTTTCAAGTTGTTCAGTTAAAACTACTGGAGATATCGATCAGACACCGTCTTTCAGTAGTTATAGGGGAATAAAAATTTGGCACTACTGATTTAATAGAAATTTCAAAAAGTCTATTGCTTCAAGGTATTTACATGAACAAACTTAACCAAATGTGACAGAAGTATTCTTTTTATACACTTTCTGATTCTCATCCATATTCCAGACACATGGACAAGTTTAGATATAACATTATTATTAAACAGCTTTTTATACACTTTCTGATTTTCATCCATATTCCAGACACATGGACAAGTTTAGATATAACTTTATTATTAAACACAGCTTTTTATACACTTTCTGATTCTCATTTATATTCCGGACACATGGACAAGTTTAGATATAACTTGATTAGTAAACACAGCTTTTCATACCTATGATATAGTATTTACCGTGATGTGTTTTTACCCGTATGTTGTACCACCTTACTTGAGCTTACATACCGCCATCAATTTTGTCAGAACAGGTTAAACCAATCAGCCATGATATGTAGTTCAGTTTTACAAATATTTTTGCAAGCCTCGATAACATCACACAAACATCACAGAAATGTACTCGAGTGTTTTGGTTGTGGACTTTACAGCTGACTGAGACCAGGGGTCAGTTTTTAGATGCTGTCCTTAGATTTAAACCTGAATACTATTTACTAAGATACTATTTGTTATTTATTCATGTACAACATTCCTCCAAGCAGGACAGACTGTGGTGTTTTAGTGTGGTGTAACACACGAGACTACCACAGATAATGATGTGGATCTACAGTCTATATTACAGTCTAAACTGATATTACCTCAATCCTGATTTATGTTTGATGGTGAGACAATCTAAATGGACATATGCTTACAACCCATTTAGGTTTTACCATAGGACGATATACCTGCGAGATCGACTGTGACAAAGATGCTATTGACATAGTGTACCTTGCTTTGGCTCGAGCTCGGTCCACTTGTCCACCAGTGAAACAGAGTACCAGGACTACAGATTTGATAAACAGATATTCTTGCAAACGTGTGAGATAACACCGCTAAGCAGACAACATTTGAGGATTTATTTAAATGCTAGTAGAACTACTACCTGGTAAATACCGGTCATGAAGCTGACACTCTTGTTGGTACTTTCTAGTAGTAATGCTCATTTCTCCCATGTCACACTGACTGTTATACTACAGCTAGTTCAATATTTATGCTATGTCTGTTTAAGAACAAATCACTGTAAGCGTACTTATTTTAGCTGACACAAGTTTATTTTAGCTGACACAAGTTTATTTTAGCTGACACAAATTTATTTTAGCTGACACAAATTTAAGTGTTTTATCAAATTTTAACTGATTGGTGCATGGATGAATTGGCACTCTCTTAACACTACAGTAGGAAACTATAAACAAAAACTTAAACTAGCGCAATCATAGTGTCATACTTAGAGTGTGACAACTGACTCATTGACAAGTGCCGAAATTAGAATACTGCTAAAAAAAAATAAACTTTCAGTATTGTGTAAAAAACGTTGGGGTGTGAAAAGATCGGCATAAATAATTGTATTGTAAATTGATATATTTATTGTCAAGTGTAGGATATTTACGCATTTAAAGAAGCATACATTGATCATCTGTCATTTAACAGGGACAACATTTTGTACAGGCAAACTCGTGGTACAGCCAAAATCTCTTCTAACAGAAAGCGTTGGTACATCAGGGTTATACTGTACTTACAAATGTAACACCTAGAATCACATACACATCAATAATATCACATTCATCAATTGATGACAGTTTGTTGGAAAGCTATTCATATTACTCACTGATAGTTTCAAATTCTCTTAAGATTTCTCCTTTGATATATCAGATGACTGTGTGTCATTATTACTAGTTGCCTCCCCTTCTTTAAGATCCTTTACATTTGACATATGTTTGTCCCTTGACTCCTCTTTGCTACTCTTTATGTTGAGTTGTTTTTTTATTTCTGTCCAGTCATGTTCTTTAAGATCACCTTCATCACTATGAAACTGTTCGGGCTTGTCACTGTCTGGTTTTTTCCACTTTGGAGATACTTTTTCCTTAGCATCATCTACTAGATCTTTACCGGCCTCCTTATTAGCCTTGATATCACTGACCCAATTATCTACACCTTTATGGCCAACGTTTGATAGATCTTCAGCAAGAGTTGGATGTTTCTTCTGTAAGGTATCTGGGAATTTCATTTCCAGAGCTTTGAAATGTCTCAGTAACTGCTGCACTTGTAGTACATCTAATTTATATTCCTTTGCTATATTTTTGACAGCATTTGGATCTAACACAGGTGTTTCTTGAACCTTTGTGAGAATCTTCATGATATTTTTAAGAGACAATCTCCCCTCAGGCACATTCTGTGGATCCAGAAAACCCCTGTATCCTGATATTTTTGGTTCACTTGGTCGATTCCTTTCAGGCAGAGGACGTGATTTTATCTGGAAAAAAAAGGAGTATGCTTGCTATTAAGCTGGCAAGGACAGGTTAAGCTATGACAGTGTTATACCGGTAGTTAAATTACAACAGGACTATCTACAGAGTGTTCTATTGATGGTACATATCTTACCTGTATACAGTATACATAAAAATACCTGTATTTCTATCATTTCCATGTGCAAGATAAAAGTGTCCAGAGTAAGAAAGTGGTGTAAGAAATTTCTATCTTACACCCCGTTTCACATGTCAGATGTGATGTCACAATTTCTCAACAATGATGTGACGTCACGAATTTGGAAAAGTCTGATGCCACAATACGGAAAAGCTGACATGATGAAAATAAAAACTTTTACAATATATTGACCATGTAAGTTAGAAAGATGAGATTAATTTTCTATGCTTGCAAATATGGAGTATGCTAAATCTCGCTGACAGATTCGTTTTTGTCAAAAAAGCTCAGATTTTCATGGTTTCTGAGCTTATTCTGGTAGTTGAAATGAGAGAGAAATGCTCTTTCATGCCCACTGGTGTAGTAGGATAGTGAAATTCCACCCTCAGTATTTTCAAATTTCCCTATCCTTCATTCCTGGGCATGAAAGATTCTTATAATACATATCATACCTCTATATTCATTTTATCCTGCATCTTCATGCATATATACAGGTATTTCCATGCTCAAAGTTCAAGGGGGTTACGCTCACTTATGTTCTGTGCACCCCCAGGCCCTGGAATATATCATGACAAATCATAGGCTCGGTACACATGCAGCACCTGGTGGATGATACTAGCTTGACACTTTGATGAGCAACAAAAGAACTGCATGGCAGAGTAACCGGCTCTGAAGTCAGGTATCGTTCCACTGTAATCATCAAAGGACAGGTTTCAGCCTACGATTGGTCAGGTTTAATTTACCTGAAACCAATTAAAATGCTTACTGTGTGCCTTTGATTTTGTCATAAAACATATTCCAGGAGTGCGTAGAACACATGTGAGTGTAATCCCTAGAGTTTCAAGGATGAGGTTATCTCATGTATAAACCTCTATGTCATGTATATACATGAGTTTCCATTTCATATGAGATTTATGAAAGGAGTATAAGAATTTTTCAATTTAGTGAGCCTCTGGAGAGCTTTAATGAAAAATTCGTGACAAGTTTCATAAATTTCATATGAAATGAAGACGAGTGTAAGACCCTTTTTATCACATAATCAAGACTTGTGGCATTACCTGGTAATTAGACCAGTCGTGTAAAGTGACAATTTTCATGCAACATTGAAATGTAAAAAGACACCATTTTGACTCCAATGCGTAAGTCTATCATGTAATGTACTTGTCCTAGGCGTGATGTTACAATTGAAACAATAAAAACTTACAACTAATCCAAGGGCTGATAGGTCATATTACATGGGTTAATATGCAAACAAATATGACATGGGTATATTCACTAGATAACGCAGTACATTATGTGATAAATGTAAATATGACACCTGTGCATGCATGACATACCAGTAAACACATGACATACCAGTAAACACATGACATAATAGTAAACACATGACATACCAGTAAACATATGACATACCAGTAAACATATGAGTAAATATGACACCTGTGCATGCATGACATACCAGTAAACACAGGACATACCAGTTATACATGACATACCAGTAAACACATGACAAACATGAGATATACCAGTAAACACATGATATACCAGTAAACACATGGCATACCAGTAAACACATGACATTCCAGTAAACAGATGACATACCAGTAAACATATGACATACTAGTAATCATATAACATTCCAGTAAACATATGACATACCAATAAACATATGACATACCAGTAAACATATGAGTAAATATGACACCTGTGCATGCATGACATACCGGTAAACACATGACATACCAGTAAACACATGACATAATAGTAAACACATGCCATACCAGTAAACATATGACATACCAGTAAACACAGTACATTATGTGATAAATGTAAATATGACACCTGTGCATGCATGACATACCAGTAAACACAGGACATACCAGTTATACATGACATACCAGTAAGCGCATGACAAACATGAGATATTCCAGTAAACACATGAAATACCAGTAAACACATGACATTCCAGTAAACATATGACATACCAGTAAACATTTGACATTCCAGTAAACACATGACATACCAGTTATACATGACATACCAGTAAACACATGACATACCAGTTATACATGATATACCAGTAAACACATGACAAACATGAGATATACCAGTAAACACATGATATACCAGTAAACACATGACATACCAGTTATACATGATATACCAGTAAACACATGACAAACATGAGATACCAGTAAACACATGATATACCAGTAAACACATGACATACGAGTAAACACATGACAAACTAGAAATACATGACATACCAGTAAACACATGACATACGAGTAAACACATGACAAACTAGAAATACATGACATACCAGTAAACACGTGACATCCTAGAAATACAGTATTTGCCTGTAATACACAACATTCCTGTATATATGACATACCAGTAAACACATGACATACAAGTTATCATATGACATACCAGTAAACACATGACATACTAGAAATACAGTATTTGCCTGAAATACACAACATACCTGTATATATGACATACCAGTAAACACATGACATACAAGTTATCATATGACATACCAGTAAACACATGACATACAAGTTATCATATGACATACCAGTAAACACATGACATACAAGTTATCATATGACATACCAGTAAACACATGACATACAAGTTATACATGACATACCAGTTAATACATGACAAACATGATACACAACATACCTGTATATATGACATACCAGAAAACACATGACATACCAGTAAACACATGGCATACCAGTAAACACATGACATTCCAGAAAACATATGACATACCAGTAAACATATGAGTAAATATGACACCTGTGCATGCATGACATACCAGTAAACACAGGACATACCAGTTATACATGACATACCAGTAAGCGCATGACAAACATGAGATATTCCAGTAAACACATGAAATACCAGTAAACACATGACATTCCAGTAAACATATGACATACCAGTAAACATTTGACATTCCAGTAAACACATGACATACCAGTTATACATGCCATACCAGTAAACACATGACAAACATGAGATATACCAGTAAACACATGATATACCAGTTAACACATGACATACCATTAAACACATGACAAACTAGAAATACATGACATACCAGTAAACACATGACATACGAGTAAACACATGACAAACTAGAAATACATGACGTACCAGTAAACACATGACATACTAGAAATACAGTATTTGCCTGAAATACACAACATACCTGTATATATGACATACCAGAAAACACATGACATACCAGTAAACACATGGCATACCAGTAAACACATGACATTCCAGTAAACATATGACATACCAGTAAACATATGACATACTAGTAAACATATAACATACCAGTAAACATATGACATACCAATAAACATATGACATACCAGTAAACATGACATACTAGAAATACAGTATTTACCTGTAATACACAACATACCTGTATATATGACATACCAGTAAACACATGACATACAAGTTATACATGACATACCAGTTAACACATGACAAACATGACATACCAGTAAACATATGACATACCAGTAAACACATGACGTACTAGAAATACAGTATTTACCTGTAATACACAACATACCTGTTTATATGATATACCAGTAAACACATGACATACCAGTAAACACATGACATACCAGTAAACACATGACATACCAGTAAACACATGACACCAGTAAACACATGGCATACCAGTAAACATGACATACTAGAAATACAGTATTTACCTGTTATACACAACATACCTGTATATATGACATACCAGTAAACACATGACATACCAGTAAACACATGACAAAAATGAGATACCAGTAAACACATGATATAATAGTAAACACATGACATACCAGTAAACAAATGACATACTAGTAAACACATGACATACTAGTAAACACATCATTTATACATGACATGCCAGAAATACATGACTTACCTGTAATACATGACATGCCTATATAAACATGACACACAAATGATCTAACTCATTACTATGTACAGTGTAAATTACTGTAATTTATAGGAGATAAATGAATAAAGAATTTCTTCAAAGTTGTAGTTAATTCAGCATTTAGATTAGAATCTTTTGAAGCAGTATTTTCTTCATGTAAAGAAAACTACTTCTGCTCCATACTAGCAGTTGAAATCTGGACCTGCTTTGGAACTCCAGCATTACTAACCGCATAAGCAATCTTCATATGCTCCAAAACACTAACAGTAGAAATTAAAACCTGCCCAGGGTAAAATGTAGACGTGATCCACACCTGCAGTAATGAGTTACCTGTGGAAGGCTTCCTGTTGAGTCAATTCGTATCTGTTTCAGTCTTTCATGAAGATCTGAATCTTTTTTCTTTTGCTCATCAAATAGTTCTGGGTGGTCTGTAAGTAAATAATAACAGTATTTTTCAAGTTTATGAACATACATTCTGTAGATTGAAATTAAAGACAGTGGAACCCTGCAATTAACTTAAAACTTGAATGAGTCAATAACCCCAGTTAACTAAACACATGAGTCTGTTTACCCATCAAGATTAATATACATACAGGTGGGTCAATTACCTGTAGTAATAACCCCACATAGCCAAATATAGATGAGTCATTTACTGGTCTTCGCAAACTCTAACAGTAACAGATGATTACCTCTCCATACAGTGTTGCCCTAAAAGTATTTGTGATTTGTCAATATTTACTATTACATTTCATGGGATTTTACTTTTTTTCCATGGAATTTTCCTAAGGCCAATTATAACATCATTAAAACGAGATTACACATCCTCAAATACAATTACTGTATTGGTTCTAATTATAGCCCTGGCGACACATGACAAAACAAAAGTAGGAGGTGGGCCACTATTGCTACCAATGATAACAACATTATGAAATTAAGGGATGGGTGATTATTTGAGAGTCAGACAAAATGTGAAAATTGTAAAATCAAGCTCTTAAAGGCTTATATGAACAGTACAATGAACGATGGGCCTGAAGTTACGGATTAATTTTACACTATCCATATAAACTTATGAAACTAATTGACGGAATCACTATTTGTTGTATTTTGTTGATGTGTTTTAGAGCTTATGTGTATCAATCCATAAACTGTAAAAAAAAAGCTGGTGACAGTTTGCGTTAGTTTCTGCAGGTAGGGCGTAAGAATTGTACCTGCTGCCCCCATTGCATGATCGTAAGAGGCAACTAAATTTTGGATCCTATCTTTTCTCTTCTTACACAACAACTTTCTTCTTCCTAATGTCTCCCTTGACAATGCCTCACTTTTGGCCTTTAGTTGAATGTTCGCCCCTATGAGGAAGACTTTGGGTTCTGTCCCCTGGCCGACATGTACCAGAGTCTGTAAAAATGGTAGTTTCTACTTCTGCTTAACGTTCAGCAATTTAGAAGTGGGGCGCCTGGTTCGCCCGTTGTCAGTATAATGTTGGACCGGGTGTGGTGTCCTGCTGGGTGTCTTCGGCAGTATGTTTCAGTGAGGTAGCACTATAAAGTCGGCATCAGTTCTGCGCTGTTATAAGGAGACAAACGCAAACATATCGCAGCCTCCCAAAACACACACACACACACATACACTACACGCATGCATCTTGCACACAGGGGAGGTCTAATATCTAGGTTTTGTGGATGCGAACGGTCATCTTAATATCTTACCCTCCAGATATCTGTACCTGGAACAGTTATTAGATAGATCATCGATTGAAACTACAACAGGACAAGTTCAGTGTTGTGTTGATTGAAGGAATCTACATGCATGCTTCATAATAATGGGCTATTATTGAAACCAATACAGTAGCTGATTTTCAATCTGAAAACATTTTAAAAGTTTTCTATATATATGGGATGGTAATCAAGAAATTAAAACTTGTGGAGAATACAATTTCAATGTCGTTATTTAGTAAGACAATGAACAAATTGGTGCACCAAAATTAATTTCATCAGTTAATAACATATCACAGTCAATCAAAACGTTTCTTCTTCTTCTTAAGGGTGATGGGGCCGGGCTCCGTCAATGTGTTGACGATTATGCCCTCGGGTCCTATCACAGAGGCGTTCAAGGGTTATTAACAGTGATTAGTTTTAGGGGGGGG